CTTAAGTTGGTTTATGTTCTTCAATTTATTTATCCACAATTGCTCATAGGTGAATACATGGTTTTGATCACATACTTAATACTGTTTGATCAACATCAACTTGAAATTTTCAGTCCCGTCTTTTCAAAATATGGATAGATTGATTGATAAATATTTTCTTTTATCACTTTTTTCAACCAATTTTTAAATGCCATTATATGGTACTTAAATCTATCTCTAATTGTAGTAAACGTAGCTCCAATATAGTTGATGGTGACGTTTTCATTACCTATGTATACAATTGTATAAACATTTCCTAACCTAATGCTCATCATTTTGTAGTTATGTATGTATATACGTTTTCTTACCTAAAGTTAACTGTCAACATCGTTTCGTCCGCAGGTCGAACTACAGTTTCCTTACACGCGTTGCTTGTACTAGGATCTTCGAACCTAATTGTGTATCTAATTAATTAGGAAGGATCTCCAGATGGCATAAAACTAATTCTAGTGATCTTTTTGGATTTACTAGTTTTAAGACGCATGAGCTCAACTCCTGTTGTCGATTTTAACAATTGACGTCCAGCACTTGTAACATCAGGACCTACATATGGAGTAGCGACTGTTTGTGCAAGTACGCTACCAACACCACTGTCTTTCAACCAAGAGCCCACTGATTGATACCAGACCAGATATCATCGAAAAAGCCATAGGCGAGCATTGGATTATGATGTCGACTAGTATAAATAATTTCCCCTTTACTCATCTGGAGATTGCAACCTTGTTTACAACTACATGTTTTCTTGGCATTTGAAGGATATAGATAGGCTAAATTGTCCTTAACAATGTCATATTCTAATACTCTTTCAGATTTGTTAGATTAGCTTCATCTGTTGAGCTGCGAAAAAGTTTGATTCTACTTGAACGTACTACCTCTGTCCGGAATCGGAAATACTTGCCCCAAACAGTATATTTGGGAAATGACGGTGAAGATGGTCGAATTATTCCATTCTGAAAACATGAGCGTGATTAGTAGACTCTACAGTTCACCAATGGCATTGCTTCGTACCAAACTGAACCCAATCACAAAAGATACAGCAAGTGAAAGCCTCAATACTTAAACCCATACAACTTGGACAATTTAAACAAACAAGGCGTTATCCGGATATCCGGATAACGCTGTCTTTATCCGTAAAACTCAGCGGGACAAAATCGACAAACGAAATGCGCGCCAAGAAGAAGTTGACGGACAACGACCGGAATGCCATCCTCCAGCAACTACTCGCGCGAATGATTGACGACAAGGCACTGCCTAGAGGTGCCTTCGTTGAAGTAGCTGCATCCTTTGGAGTTGATAGAAGCACGGTTCGTCGCATCTGGCAGCGAGCAGCTGTTGACCTGTCTGACAAGATACGGCCTTGTCGTTCTGTGTGCTCGAAACGGAAGGGTCGTTGTGGCCGCAACATCAAGCACGATATGGTGGCTGCACGTCTGAAGCTCGTCCCAAAGGCTCGCCGTACGACATTTCGGTCAATCGCTGCCGCAATGGGCATTCCAAGGTCGACGTTGCACGACTACTATCGCCGCGGGATCTTCGTCAAGTACTCTAGTACAGTCAAACCCGCACTCACCGATGCAAACAAGGCCGTCCGATT